CCTTTTTTCTTTTTTATCAATTTTTTTATACAAGCTTTATACCCCAAATCAGCACTTTTGAAACAGGAAGTGAAATAGAGGGATATGAGGCATGGCTAGAATGGGTGATCTGTTTGGTATTTTGAGCCAAACACTTCATAGACATGTTTTTTTCATATATCTGAGACCTATGCTATTGCCTAAAAATAGCATGATAGGTGACCTTTAACATTTGTTCTGTTAGAAATAGGTGGAGCATTAGCTGGAGAGGAAACTGAAAATCTCTGTTTGTTTATGCAGATGGTGAGAGATGAGAATCTTAAGTTCATGAAGAACAGGGACGTCTACAACAGCGACTACTTCAACTTCACGCTCTCCCTGGCCTCCGTCAACGCAGTATGTACCGTTTGTGTTTGTCATGTGCTTCGACTGTTTGGCTTTCATTTTCTTTTTGTGTACACTTGCAAAGTAGAGCCACACAGGGAGCTCGATCTATACAGCAAGCATTTCAGTCATTTGTATTATCTTACGTTTTCTCCTTTTGCAGTTCTTCTTGAAGTCAATGCAACTCATACATCTTCTTTCTCATACCACATATTTTTTTTACCGTCTTACTTACCGAAGTGTTTACATTGTTAGATTTTTAAGACCATGAATAGTATGTTTCTTTTCTTTTTTTTCGTCCACCATAAATACTTAATTTTAATTGACCACACACTGTGAGTGGAGACTTGTTAAGAAGGGGTGGTCCCTTCTTCTTAACAAGTCTCCACTCACAGTGTGTGGTCTGATACCAAGGAAATTGAAAATCATCATTTATTTGCAGTATAACTAAACTATACAACTGTTTAGTTTAGTCAAATTGAGTTGCAGCAATCAGTGTCTTACATGTTTGTGTGTGTGTTACAGACGAAGCTGAAGCATGCGGACTACCAGCCCATGGCCAAAGAGAGTCTTCAGCTGGCGGTTCACTTCCTCTTTCACACCTACCTGCACACCAAAAAGAAACTCCGGTATGTACCCACATGCAGCCTCACCGCAGTAATGAACATCTGCCATACGCAGCAATGTAACCCCTTGATTGAATATGTGTGTCCTGCAGCGTGGACACAGAGGAGTGGATGGCCACAGTGGAGGTTTTGCTGACTAAGAGCAGCGAAGCCTGTCAGTGGATGGCGCAGTACCTGGTGGGGCCGGAGGGACGAGAGATCACCAGGTCGGTGCTTGTTGACACACACACACACACACACACACACACACACACACACACACACACACACACACACACACACACACACACACACACACAAGTTGAATACTAGGACTGTACCAAATGTACTTTTTTTTACATTAGAGGCATTCGTTCGAGTTTTTGGGGAAATGTGTCTTTTTCATGTTTTATGAAGTCATTGTTTTTTTTAAAACTTTTTTTTAATTTATTTAACTGCTAGACATCCCTGGCTTCCTTTGTGCACTGACTTTTTTTTGAAAATGAATTGAAGCATAATATTTTGTCAGATAAAAAGTTTAGTGGAATTAATCAATACAATTTGACTTCTTAACACTTTATATGTTCAAGTTATTGTAAAAGTTCAATTTTCACTTTCAAACTTACCATATGCGTTATTCACCCACCCCGAAAACCTCCAACTTTATATTGAATTCACTGTAAAACTGCAAATTACGACCCCATTATAATTCTTTGAATTTGTAGCTTTTTAGAATCACAATAAAAAAGTATAACTGACGAGATTTGAGCTCGGCAACTTAAGAGACAGTGCAGTGACAGTTGCCCCGACGTAAAGCTTAGATGCGTGTGCCTGTGGGGGTTTAATCACTGCAGCAGTTTGTAGCTGTCCTTGTGAAATACGATACCACAGACTTGGCAGCTCACAGTGCTGCTCCCTCACTCCAATCAATGCTCATTGAACTCTCTGACCTTGGTCACATTATTCCACCCTCATAATGCTGCTGCAGCGAGAACATACTTACTTCATATATAACAGTCCATTCAATCTCTATAGTATGTTCAAATACACACACCACCTGAGAGTGTCTTTTAAAGCTTGTATTGCATTTGCGCTGACAGTGGGTGTTCCTTGGCATTATGTGATGTGAACATTTGGCCCCAGAGGAAGGTGTGTGTTTTCAAAGGCGTTGTCTTGCCCTCATACATTATTAGATTTTGCACATCGAACATTTGGACAGCCGTACCTCCGGCCCCCCAAACGCCCCAACATATGGATTACATTGTGTTTCATTAAATAAAAACACGTGTTTTTTTGGGAACAATTACATTTATCTTTTTTCAATAAATTAAGATTCTGGGAACAAGCAAAGTCAGCAAACAATCCTACACTTCCACCAATGGACTATAGATTGCCTTATATTATAATAATACTAGTATAAGTGTAGCCAAATATTTGCAACAGTGTAAAATTAGCTGATTTAAAAATAAATATCCACAGGATAAAAAGGCCACTTTCCATGCTAATTAACACTGATGATGTATTGTTATATCTTCCCCTCAGGGTCTGTCTGTTGGAGTGCAGTGTGAGGGAGGTGAGGGTGGTGTTCGCCTCCATCCTTGAGAAGACTCTGGAGTGCTCACTTCACTTTGGAGACCCGGGAGCGGACAACTTAATGGACACTCTGCTCTCCTTATTGGACAAAGACGTTCCTGAGAATGTGAAGAACTGCGCTCAGTACTTTGGTCTCTTCAGTAACTTCGCTCAGAGGGTAAGAAACCATCAACAAATCAGTAGACCTTTCTGCAGTCTTTATCAGTGCTGACACATTGAGTTAAATGACATTGTGCTTTATCTTTCTGTTCTCTCTCAGGGATGCGGTCCTTGTCAGCTGTTGTTGAAACACTCAGCTTACCGCCGGATGCTCATCTTCCTGCTGGGACCCAACAGGCAAAACAACCAGGTACAACTGAAGCAAGAACAAATATATACAAAATGAAAGTCATTACCAACAGCCCTTCTAACTACTGTGAATGCAACTTATACAAAATGGTCTCCACGTTTCTTCACAGAACCGGCGCTGGAGTCCCGCTCAGGCTCGGGAGTTTCTTCACCTCCACAACACGCTGGCCTTCATCACACTACACTCTGACCTCGACCCCCAGCGGACGCATCGTGAGACATTTTAAATCAAATCTTAAAAGTCACAGGGTTTTTGTACGATCCAGTTCTCAGTCTGATCCTCACCTCTCTCCCCTGTCGTCCTGCGTAGCTCCAGAAGGCTCTAAGCTGCGTGTGAGCTGCATCCCGTCCTCGACCCAGCTGCTGCCCCTCAACGCCGACATCCAGGCCTCTCTCTTCACTCCAGAGGGCCAGCCTTACCTTCTCGAGGTAAAGTACACATTTCAAACTTGTTTAGGCATTCTTCTCAATCAGGGATATAGAAGAATCACAAAAACCCAAATGGGGGTTGAAGAAAAAAAGCTCAGAAGGTCTTGTTGATGTTTATCTTTTAAAAATATTTCCAGGTGATGTTTGCCATGCGGGAGCTGTCCGGGCCGCTGTCCCTCCTGATCGAGATGGTGACCTACATTTCGTACTGTAACGAGCCTTTCTCCCTGGGTGTGCTGCAGCTGCTAAAGGTAAACTTTAACGTGCTAAGCTTCAAATGTTGGTCTTATCTTTGAAGCTGTCTCAGAATGCCAAAACAGAACTAATGACCTTTACCCGTTCATAACCATCTTTGGTTCCCCTCCAGACCCCAAGTACAATGTTAGGACTGATCCCAATGTCATTGAATGAAGATGTACTATTTCCCTGTGTTGAAAATACTTGTCAAGGGTCTCCTCAAAGACTTTGAATAAGTATGGAATCTCTTCTTTACCATATTAAAGAGAAAATCCAACGTTTTCATTCAAAGTAAAAAGTCATAATTAGTTGTAATTGTTTGCTTAAAACAGCTCTTGTTAATTTTTNTCTCAGAATGCCAAAACAGAACTAATGACCTTTACCCGTTCATAACCATCTTTGGTTCCCCTCCAGACCCCAAGTACAATGTTAGGACTGATCCCAATGTCATTTCACTGAAATGGGAAGACTCAGATCCAACTACCTTCACTCACTTGAATGAAGATGTACTATTTCCCTGTGTTGAAAATACTTGTCAAGGGTCTCCTCAAAGACTTTGAATAAGTATGGAATCTCTTCTTTACCATATTAAAGACAAAAAAATCCAACGTTTTCATTCAAAGTAAAAAGTCATAATTAGTTGTAATTGTTTGCTTAAAACAGCTCTTGTTAATTTTTACAAATGCATATCCAATAGCCTACTAAGTGTTCCCGCTTTTTTCATCTTGCGTTTTGATTTATTTGACCGTTTTTTTATCAATTCTTGTTATTTTGTAATGTTCTTAAATGTTGTTAGTATTCTCTATTATAATTCCTTCTGAATATGTTGTGTCTCGTAGTCCCAGCTGGAGACTGCCCCCCCTCATGAACTGAAGAACGTTTTCCAGATGCTGCAGGAGCTACTGGTGAGTGACGTCGCTCACCGGTTGACTCTGTAACCCTCACCTATTTGTAAAATCTGATTGCTTTAATGAACAGGTTTCCTAACATCATTTCAATCTTTCAAATCAGGTAATGGAAGACCCTCTGCAAACCCAGAGACTCAAGTATGCATTTGAGTCAGAGAAAGGCCTTTTAGGTATGTTTGTTTCTCTAATACCCACAGCTGGGACATCAATGGAGTCTGTCATACATCTACAATATAATACTGTTCTTTTAAACGTTGTTAGTTAACTGCCATGCATATTGTTAATATCTTCTGATTTTGTGTGTGTTACATGAATTTATTGATTGTTAAAAATCTAACGGAGTTCTTTTTCTTCCCAGCTTTGATGCACCAGAGCAACAACGTGGACAGCCGACGCTGCTACCAGTGTGTGAAGTTCCTGGTCACATTAGCCCAGAAGTGAGTTCATCTAAGGGCCAGAAGTATAGAGGCGTAGTCTTGGATACATTTGAATGATTCAGTCAATGTCATTGAAATCTTATTTTCAATGTCCCACTAGGTGTGCTCCAGCCAAAGATTACTTCAAGGACTTGTCTGGTCACTGGAGCTGGGCGGTGCAGTGGCTGCAGAAAAAGGCAAGCTTCTCTCAGAAATATGTTTGGTATTTTTTTAGGCATTTCTGCGCTAACTAGTGAATGTAGATAGCCTTCTGAAACGATGGGAGAGAGATACTTTTAGCTAACTATTCAAGCAAATTAAAATCATGGCTTTTGTATTCAAAATGTTTTCAAATTAGTTGACATGTGAATAAATACCATGTGCTCATTTTTAAATCATATTTCTCCTGCCCTCAGATGACTGAGCATTACTGGACTCCACAGAGCAACGTCTCCAACGAGACATCCACTAACAAAACCTTCCAGCGCACTATCTCTGCACAGGTACACACACACACACACACACACACACACACACACACACACACACACACACACACACACACACACACACACACACACACACACACATATATAAATACTTAATCAGCATGATATGATCCCCCCTAGTTCCTCCACCTCCCTACACAAACCCACCCTGTCACTTGTTCTTGACATTCTCTTCTGCTCTCAACTTGCTTGTGTCATTGTGTGTATTCATCTCTGCAGGACACCTTGGCCTATGCCACGGCGTTGTTAAACGAGAAGGAGCAGTCCGGCAGCAGCAACGGCTCAGACGGCAGCCCGGCAAACGAAAACGCCGACCGCAGCCTCCGACAGGTAGCCCTCAGCACAGCCAGCTTCTTAACATGACTCATCGTATTATGGCAGCTCGTGCTCAGTTCACGCAGCCAAAAAGGAGAAGAATGGAACATCTCCGCACTTTCTTTCAAAAGCCGTAAAGGCAGTTTGTTACCTCCTACGGTGGTTAATAATGGTGGATTATAAACGGCTTAATTATTCTGATGACTCCTGCTGTTCCTGACAGGAAGCCCACACAACTCAGCGCTGTCAGACTCACTCTGATTATCTGGAGTATTCCTGTCAGTGCCAGAGTGCTGTATAGAATAATAATAGAATAATCCCGCTGTCACTGCTAGATATTCCACCATTTGTTCCTTTTCCTTCTAAAAAAAAAAACATTTCTTTCTTTGTTCTCATATATTTGCTGTATCTGTCTCTCCCACAGGGGTCAGAGTCTCCCATGATGCTCGGCGATTCGAAGAGCGATCTAGAAGACGTGGACCCGTAGCTCGGCCCCCCCGCAGGAGAGGCCCTCCGATGGAGAGGTGGCACAGCTCCGGGCAGCCGACTGAAAGGGCTGCACTTTGCCTCTGATTGGTCGGGACATTTGGGACTCCAACCACAAGCCAATCGGAACACTTATTCTCTTGGTCGCTACAGCAACGAAGGAGCTATGAATAAATCATGAATTACTTCCTTTCAGAGCAGCCAAGGCGACGATGGAGATGCATTATCTTTAAGGGCAGCAGAGTTGATTATGGGGGAAAGTAGAAAAAGAAAAAACCTTCCTCGGTCACGCGGATGACTTCAGTTTATCCTTTTATTCATTCATTCACTCAGAATGACAGCAAGGTGGAGGATGGGTTTGGGTTGTGTTTTAACAATTTTCTGCTCATATTTGCCAATGTATCTACATAGACATATTCATATTGTAAAGATTTGTTCCATAGATGTACTTTCCAGTGTAAGATAATATTTTAAAGTCTCCTGTGCTCTTCTCCACAGCCATGCAATTTGCGAAAGGTCACGTTAGCGGCTCTAGAGGAACGTACAGACGTACAGTAACCCCTCTACACACGA